AGGAAGCTTGGTTAGAATTTCTTGGTGAGGTAATTTCTTTTAAAGTGTTTTCATCGTCATTGGTTTCTTTATCTTTCTCCAGACAATTAGTTCCCTTATAAAATAATTAATGAATGTAACACAACACTTTGATTTGAAATTGTCACTACAGAAATAGATGTCTCAGATTTCTCTCCAAATTGTATCAAACATAAAACCTAAAATACTCAATTCCGTTAATGTGCCGTGTAGAAGTCTAAATATGAGTTATGTCTCCTCACTCAAATTCATTCACTTATGTTAAATTGTTTACACTTTACAATCGTGAGGGCATGTTTTACATTGTAAATGTGTTTAGAAAAAAACAAACACCTTTTAAAGTAGTAATATTTTGATTTAATGTTCTAAATGTTATTGTTTTCAGCAATGAAAAGCAGATCAAACAAAGTTATATTGCCCATCAAAGTATTTCTCTACTTTTTTTTTTTTTTAGCCCAAGCACTTACAGTCCTCATGTTTAGTAAAAGCGCAGTCCATGAGTCTGTAGCTTTTTAACATTCTGTAACATTTTATCAAAATTCTCAAGACCTTGCTTCAACTTGCTCTTCAAAACTAGGGCTGTTTTTTCATGTTCAATACAATTTTGTTAAGTTTACAGAGATCATCAGTGAGGACAGAATTGCCTTGTAAAGTAAATGACTCCTCTAGGGCTGCAACAACTAATCAATTAAAACAATAATCGATTATGGGAACAGTTGCCAACTATTCTCATTATCGGTTAGTTGGTTGTGGGGGAAGTAGAGAGAGAAGAAGGAAACAGAGAGAAGAGAGTGAGAGATGGAGATTTGTTTTAATGTAACCAATCAATTAGTTGAAAATATAATTGGGCAACTAATCAATTATGATAATAAACGTTAGCTGCAGCCCTAGACTCCTTAGATGGAAAACTATTGACAAAATAGTTTATTTTGACATATGTTTTTCACAAGTACATTTGCAATCTAATATGAGATGCTTATCAAATCAAGATAAGAACAATTTTCACATTTGCTTCTACAATCACACACTGTATAGTCTTGCAGTTAAAAAGGCTAAGACCATACTACTGAGAGAGTTGGAGCTGTTTAGAAACATGACGACTGTAAGTGCTTGGGCAAAAAGAAATACTTTACTGGGCAATGTATATTTGTTTGATCTGGGTATATTACTGCAAAAAAAAAGTTTAAGAGGCTACTTTAAAGGGTTATTAAACCCTCTTGTTTTTTTTGCATATATCTACTGCTAGCAGGCAGTAGGTATATGCAAAAACATTTAAAAACAAAAAAAAATTAACAAAGACACAGCTACCAGTGTCTCCGCTGCGTGCTCCTGGCTGAAGATTCTCGGGTGGCTGCAAAGGATCTGGGGTAAGCACATGCGCATTTCAGATCTTCGGCCGGGAGACAAGGAGAGACGCAAGGTAAGTCAATGGAGGCAGCGCGCACCCGCAGAGTCCGTGGGACAGGAAGTTCCAGGAAGAGAGAGGAGTCAGCACTGGATCGGAGACTGGCACCAGCCCCAGAGGGACAGATGAAAACTACAGGAAAGAAGATGATTGGATAAATAGGCATCATTTAAGGCAAGTCCTTACACTAGAAAAATAAATTGCCTTTAGTGTCACTTTAAGTCTAACTGACCAGTAAGAGAAGATGGGACGAAAGGATGTTCATTCCACTTTTCAACACATTAGAATGTAACTTATTGACATGTAGGATTACATCTGTAGAAAAAAACAAAAATGTCAAAGCAACTGGACTTGCTGTATTTTTCTTGAAGACGTTTCACTGGACATCCAACCAGCGTTCTCAATTCAGAATGCAGTCCGGTGCAGTGAGGAGTGCTCAGAATTGTGCGTCAGTGAAACAAAACCATAAGCTATTGGAGCACACCAATACAAGGACCCCCCCATAGATCTTCACTAAAGAAAACATAACTGACAGCAGATAAGTGACCTTAAACTGATGTTTAACTACTTCAGGATCGCGTAATGTAGATAACCTGCAGCATCCTGAAGCAGAACACACACATTATATACAGGTGAAACTCGAATAATTAGAATGTCGTGCAAAAGTAATTGCAGTAATTGCTGCAAAAGGGGCCCAAACCAAGTACTGAGTACATATGCATGGTTGTACTTTTCAGAGGTCCGATATTGTTCTATGTACAATCCTTGTTTTATTGATTGCATGTAATATTCTCATTTTCTGAGATTGTGGATTTGGGGTTTTCATGAGCTGTAAGCCATAATCATCACAATTATGACAAATCACGGCTTGAATTATCTTGCTTTGCATGTAATGAGTCTATCTCATATATTAGTTTCACCTTTTAAGTTGCATTAGTGAAATAAATGAACTTTGCACAATATTCTAATTATTCGAGTTTCACCTGTATACACACACACACACGTCTTGAGGAATCCTGCGACATCCATTGTTGCTGCTAATGGGTTGATGGCGGCAAAAGTTCTGTGTAATACAATGTTAGGAGGCCTTACACTGACCATCCAATGTGACGGAGGTATTCCCACTGACCATCTAATGTGACGGAGGCATTCCCACTGACCATCCAATGTGACGAAAGTTGGGATGCACTGATACTAGTATTGGTGCCGATACCGAGTATTTGGGAGAGTACTCGTACCCGCCCAAATGCTCCGATACCTTCGCCAGGGGCAAACATGGAGCCGGCTTCCTGGGCAGGCTCCATCAGGAAGCCAGGTGGAGAGTAATGACCCGAACGGCTGGCTCCTTGCCGATTGGCTGGGAAGGCAGCTTCCTGATTGTCCAGTAAGCCGGCTCGATTCCGATTGGCTGGGAAGCCGGCTTACTGGCCAATCACAATCAAGCCGGCTTCCCGGGCAGCATGTCATTAATCGTACTCGCTACTGAAAAACCAGTATCAGTGCATCCCTAAACAAAAGTATTCACACTGACCACCAATGTAACGAAGGTACATACCCATCTTTATAAATTCCAATATATGTACATACACATAATTAAACATACCTTTTTCCTGCAGTCTTCAGGCGGGTTTTTCTTCCTTAGCAGCAATTCTGGGTGGTACTGCCTTCATTACATGGCGTGCCGTGCAGGCCAAGAGTACTGTGAGCCGGGGGGGGGAGAGAAGATTGCAATTATTTGCATATCAATTCACTATATTTACATATGAATGGGTCACAGCTTTATTGATATGCAAATAGTCACCTAATTATATCCAGGCGGGTGACAGCTTCACGGACTGTGCGGGCTCCCAGCAGGCTCCAGAGAGCACACAGCAGAGTGAACAGGGGGCAGGGTTTTAGGTTACAGGAAACAAGCTCAGAGCCCATACCGCTGCTCCTGTGTATGGGAGGCAGTGTTTTCCTACACTCCCCCACCAGCGCCCTCAAGCGGTTGCTTGCGCTGCCTTTATGGTAGTGCCGGCTATGACTTTGGGCACATATAAAAGGATCTGGTCTTAGAATTACTCTGTCTGGGACAATTGTACCTTAAGAGTACAAATTTTCCATTAGACAAGGAGATAGAGTGTTGATCACTTTTTCCAAGCAACACTTCACTTTTTTTTTTTTTTTTAACACTTCACTTTTAAGGTCTTCCTCTCAACAGCCAGGCTGTCCTTCCTTAACGAAAGGATCCATGTGGGCTGGATTGCCAATGGCCAAGAGCTCAGAAACAGGTTCTCGTGGGCCAGAAGGGTGTTAGCAGAATGAGAGTGCATGCCGATACTTTTAGCTTCTGCAGGACTTGAGGAATCAGGATTATGGAAGGGAACGCATAACCCAGGCTGAAAGTCCAGTCCTGTGCGATTGCATCCACTCCCCTGGAACCCTGCTCAAAGAGAAGATAGCCCAAACCTTTTGGTGGCAAATAAATCTCCAGCTGTCCCCACAATTGGACACTCTGTATAAATACTTCCGGATGCAATTCCCATTCGTGCTGGCAATTTGTTTGCTTGACACCAGCATCTCATGCCTCATCTATTACCTCTCTCTCCCTCTCGCCTTTAACATCAAACGGATTTTCGGATGACACACAAAGCCCCCCAGGCCTGAACACTTCCTGCCTGCAAGGGTAGTAGCGCTTTAGACTTTCTTTTTCTGTTTTCCTGCAGTTACGTTGTGAATACTCTTTATGTGGACTCCGAGAAAGCACTCTTGGTTCTGCCCAAAGACAGCTTTCCTGGGCTAGTCTTAACAAGGGTGGAGCCATTGTACCACCCTGATGATTCAGGTAAGCCACCATTACCGTTACAAGTAAAAGTAATTATCCTTGTTAACTTAATTTTTTGGCATATATCTACTGCTTGCTAGTAGGAGATAGATGTAAAAACAATAGAGACTTTTAATTCTACTTTAAGTGGCTTGATTGGGCATGTAGCTGGGATCATTCCCTCACAATGATGGCAATATTTCACTTTATTAGACAAAAAAAAAAAACCACACCACTCATCTTGACAAAGAATCATTTAATCTGAAAATGTATTCTTACAAAGTGCAAGATTCTAGTAGCAAATTGAAAATGAGAAGTATGAACACCATTCAATAATCAAATTGGAAAGTCTTCTGGCGCATACAGAGAAAAGTGTATAAATTGTGACATGTTGCTGGGTCAAAGCATGCATTTCATCATTAAAAGGCAAAATAAATGATGCCATTCATGTTGGTGGTGGACTGTGATGGATGAGATGCAAACACGCTAAGAAAACAAATACACGGCAAACAAATGAGATGCCAGTTAACATGCCATAAATAAAAGCTGTCATTGGCCATAAATGAGATGAGGTTTGATGCAGAGATGTGATTCAGGGTTTTAATTCATGCTGCAAAAAAACCTCAGTGAATTTATGCAGTAATCACATATGGACAAATAATCTGTCCAAACCATTTGGCCTTGCGATAATGGGGTGTATAAAACGGGAGTTTAGGAAGCACAAGTTTATAGCAGCTCAACCACCATTTTTTTTTTTTTTTTAAAGATTTTTTTCTGCTTGTAAAATACCCAAAACTAGAAGAATCATCCACAAAATTTTGTGATTTGCAAGTTTCCGAAGACAGATTTGCTTACAAAACAGTGATTGCCATGCAGTTTTTTCACAGCCTTACAACGAACAGCACTGTTTGCCATTGAGACTTAAGAGATCTAGTTACAGCAACACCATCTGGCATGCCACTGAATGTTCATTACAGAAAGTATCCAACAACCTGTGCAATTGACTTCTACATATAACATGTATTGGTAAGGTAAGAGGTGACAGGAGAAAGAAAATTCTGGTAGGTGTCAAGCTCTTCATTCAGTTAACATTTAGTTCTTGTGTTGTAGTTCTCAATTGCCTCTTCGGTGACAGATTCATCCGCCGCTATATCTCTCTTAACCGTCTTGCCTTCAAGGTCAAATATCTCCTCTGGGGGGAAGCCACGCGGCTCAGCTACCTTTATTGTCAACATGTTGAGAGTGATCACGGAGCCTGCAGCAATTTTAATCTTTGCCACAACAGATTTACCAAGCTGGAAGAGACAAATAGAAGTTTTATCTAAATGAACAGCAAAAAAAAGGTGAGCTGCACAAAATACAAAACCAAGACGCTGCTTTAACATGGAAGCTGTATCCACAAAACAAAATGGATAACAAAACAGCAGGAAGTCCACGTGCTGAGCATGAACTACGAACAGCTAAATACACAGACAGACAGAATAAATATCTGTGAGCGGTTTCACCTGCCAAAGGATTTGTAGATCTGTCGATTTAGTACTGAGATGTATACAGCTTTGGCACATAGCATAGACCTGTCTGGCAGGGCAGGAAGACCTGATTTTCTTTTCTCTTGCAGTTAAGTAAAGCTGGTCATACACTATCCGAAATTCACAAGGTGAGCGCCCTGTCAGCCAGCATCCCTCAGCCAGATGGAACAATCTTCCAACAGAGCCATCAGCGAATCAGCTGCCGACTCTGTTCAGGTATTATAACAGCAACAGTCGGGATACAATGCTAACAGCTAGAGATTCCTCGATTAATGCTCATAAGCGTTGGAGGAATCTAATATTTTCCTTGTTCGGCCCACTGGTTGAACAAATAAAATATTACAGTGTATGGCTATCTGCACAACTGATTGGCCCCTTATGCTGCTTTCCCTCTCCCAGTTTGAGCTGTACTGCAATACCAAGTCAGATTTTAGTATTCAAAAATACATTTAATAAATATTTACTTTTTATTTTTATCTGGAGTTCAGCTTTATAAGGAAAAGGGCTGATCTGCAATAAGGGAGGAGTCAGCTGTCACAGGAGAGCAAGATCTGCTCCCTGCAGCGCTTGCTCAGCCTCCTGTGACAGCGAGTCGTGATGGAGAGCGAGTGCAAACACTCAGTAATCAGTGATCGCTGAGTTTTTGTAAATAATTGGCGGACATAGCATGGTTACTGTGTCCCCAATTATGAATCAATGGGAAGTGATCTACCTCACTTCCTGTTCCTTCATGATTGTGGTTATAGTAAACATACTATGTCCACAAGTTATGAATAAACAGGAACACTCAGTATAGAGGATTCTTGTTCATTCATAACAGGGCTCTGTGTTCTGCTTTAAAAAGAGAAATATCAGCGGTCTGTTTAGACCCCCTATATTTCCCCAAAGCCACCCAACAGAAAAAAAATAATAATTCTAATTTCAGTTTAGTTTTTGAAATTTTAGTGTTCTATAACTCTCCTCCCCACTGGTGCCAGCTGCAGTGGTCTAATTATGATTAGCTTATAGGTATAAGTGTAAAGATGATATAGTACAGGAAGAACGTGTACATAAAGCCTCCATCTCGTTATTCTTATACTGTATTTTGTGGCATGCTTGAACGAATATGTCATCATTCACTTATAATGAAACCTTCTAAAACTAAAGTTCTATAAATATACAGTAATCAAGCAAAAAAAAAGAAAAGTGGTCACAAGAGTGTATACTTCTATAAAGTACCTTTACATAAATGCAGTTGAGCTTAATGAAAAATAATTGTCAGTTAAAAGGACAGATATAACACTTAGTTTGGGCCTTCGTTTCGATTTGGCTGATTTCTAGAGAAAATAAACTGTTAAGGTAGGTTCACATCACTGTTCGAATAGGCACATTCACTGATGTTTGTTGTAGTGCTCTGCATTGCACTAATGTGCGTTGCAGGTTTTTGACAATTTCATTACGGATTCTTTTTTTATTGACCTAGTGCGCAATGCAGCGTGTTACGATGCGATAAATGCCCTCTGCCTAATTGTTTTTTTCCTTAGCACCTGCTAATGCACGCATTGGTGTGAGCAGACACTACAGCTCTTTTACTTGTCCATGTGCCAGGTCTGCATTGATCAAAAAAAGCCCAAAAGGAGTCCTTTGATGCGGCACTCCTTTTGTTTTGAGGCACCTGTAATGTATTTAGCCGACTTAAGCGCAAAGCACAGTTGGGCTTTAAAGTTATCCAGGCTGAAGCGAAGGGTTCCCTGATCTATCACAATTGCCTTGTTGGGCACGGGGCAAGCCTGGAATTTAAGTGTTGGAATGAGGCAAGCAGGTTCAGTTACCTTTTAACCTCATATTTCAGCAATAAATCCAGGCCTTGTTCGTGAGGTGCACGTTCCCCTCCTCACTTTCATGTTTGTTATTTCAGCTACTAATTTTAGGAAGAGTAACTTTGTGCGCCCTAAACGTTTTGTAAGCAATGCCCCCATATACACTGCAAAATGTACTGCACCTCTAATTGCAAAACGTTGGTTCACACCTGCTGGCTGAAAAAAGTCCCAAATGTTGCACGGATGGAACCAACACTTTGATTAAAGGATTTGTATGGGCACGATCTAAAATACACCAAAAGCATGACTTCCAGAGCATGTCCCAGCATTTTTATCCTTTACCTTGTTTCTGTGGTAAGATAGAGCTTTTAGCACTCTGTGGTGTCATTACTGGATGGCTGCTGTGGGAGAAATCAGCAGGGTTCCCAAGGGGGTGTAGAAAAACTCCCCCCCCCCCAACTACTTTCAAAAGGAGAACTCAGGCAAACAAGGTTGCTTGGCATTTTAGTGCAAGAGATGCAGCATTGTCAGTCCTCAACAGGAGGTTAGGAGCTCACTGGATTTTTGTCCAGAAATACGCTTCAAGATAGGTGGGAAAAAGAAAAGGAAGTGTCTGTGCTAGAATTCAGCGACGTTTGGGGTTGGCTGGGGAGTCCAATGCACCCAATGAAGTATTGGATAGTAGGAGTGCACAACGTCCTGCAAAAGAGCACAAAAGGTGAGGTTATCTTCTTTTGCAGGCTGCGTCTACTTTTATTTCAATGGAGTTAGCAACAGGATTTACTTTTCCACTCATTCTCTGCCAAAGCCTGAAGAAATACCCAGGGGGTGGGGGTGCAGAGATCTGATGTCACATTCAACTAGGGTCAATCTTGCAGAGGACTAAGGAGGGGCCAGGCCACAGATCAATGAGGCAGTGGAAGGAGTAGAAAGTAAATTCTCTACTGGAAGTCCATACAATGATGTGCACCGGTTTCTTTCTCTATTAAGAACAATTCAACAAATTAACTTTAAACAAGCCTGTCAAACACCAGCTATGGCAACTCCTACTGTTATTGTACTTCTACCACAGACCACTTAAAACAGCAAACAGTCTGAAATGATAATGCTCAGAAATGTGACTGTCACTTTGTTTATTCAAGACAAAGTGAAATTCTCTTTAAAGTGCACCCCATAACCAACTTATACCCACCTTAGTGGCCACTCCATTGCTCTGCAGTCCTAACCATGTGCAAGCTCTGTACTGGAGCTTGCACAAAGTAAATGGTGTTGTCCTCTTAGTCAGGTTCACAAAGTTTTGGCCTGGCAATAGGCTGCTCAGACACAAGTACTGCATCCTTGGAGGTCACATGCTCCCCTGCAGCTTCGGGTCCTTGCAAAAAACACACCACACACACACATATACATACAGTATATAAAGTTCAGGGAAAATGAGAATACAAATATTCACATTACCTTGTTGTGACAAGCCATTTCACAAGGCAAAAGCCGTTTTTCCACAGAACCCATGGCTTTCTCCACTGTACGGATAGATTTGACCAGATCAGCCAGTTCACTAGGTTCTAATGAAGCCTGGTGGTCAGTTCCTTTCCAGGTCTTATCTAGTGTTACATGGCGTTCAACTATTTTGGCACCCATGGCAACAGCTGCAACTGTAATGTCAATACCACTTTCATGGCCGGAGTACCCAATAGGGATATCTGGGAAGGCTTTCTGGTATTCCTAAGAAAAAAAAAAAGAAGTCTGTAAAAGTGTTCCTCCTGAATTATTATTAATTTATATTGCGCCGGTTTGCGCAGCGCTTTACAATACAAAGGAAGACATCACAATTCAAGACGCTAAGGCTAATTGGGTCAAACCGTTACTCACAAAATCCAGCGCTGGGGTTCATAACCCATGGGCCGTGACCCAAAATAGGGGAAAAGACTCTCTTGACATGTGTTATTACAATGGGCAAGTGCTGTAGAGCACCAGAAATCACACATGCCCATAAGGTAACACCATTTGGAAGGACAGTCTTATCTCACTGGTTTCACTACATATTTGAAGAGTCCAAAGATGAAACAATGTGGAGTTTGGTAATTTCTGTATCTAAATTACATTTCCCATTCAAGCCACTAGAAGATTTCTTTCTACTATTCATATAGTTTAGTTATCATTACATTAGATTTAAGCCCCCAGGCAAACTAACCACTTCAGCTTTACATCTGCGCACCCGAGAACCAGTTTTTACATTTCTGCTCTGGGTCCGTTCATTTAGCGATAACTTAAGATAAAGCAATACGTAATTTTTTTCCCCCTGGACAAAATGCATTCTTTTTGATTTTGTTTAATCAAATTTACATTTTCTTCCCAATCTATAGGAAAAAAAAATTATACATAAATGTTTAGAAACGCACTTTTCTTTGAGAGAATTAGTTTATTTTTAGGCCCAATCCACACCTGAGCATTTTGTGGCTCGAATGCCTATGCACTACAATGCTCAACAGGGGGAATCCTATAGTTTTTTCAATGGTCCCTGTTGACACATGAGCGTTTTGTCACATGTAGCTCAAAAAAAAGTACATAAAAAAAAAACTTTTAGGAGCATAGTCAAGCATTTGGTCCCAACAGGCTCAATGAAAGGGTCTGTTTTCAAGTTTTTTCTTTTTCCTAGTAACTAGCTTTGCACTGGCTAGAAATAAAATGCTTAAGCCTGAAACGCTTGCAAAAAGTGTCAAGTGTTGCATGAAGCAGTCATTTTAAATACAGATCCTGTGGACTCAAATATTGCTCTGGGTCATGGCTGTAAAGGCAATTCTTTTTTGATTCCAAAGAGTATACAAAGAACCCAACCTGTATGACACGTAGATTTACATCTTCCGGAAGAAGAGGATAAGCGCTAGTACACTGGAGTATACAGAAGTTTGGATTGATTGGTTTTACAAGCTCGTAAACACGGCGCATGGTATCCATTGACTGCATACCGCTTGAAATTACCATCGGACGACCTAAACAAGGCAGAAAAGAAACACAAATTTAAAATAGTGAGATGTGTTCATATAGAATACTGACTAGTGCAAATCAAGTTAATTTTTAGCATTAATTTTCTTTTGTGCATTGCAAAGTATAAGCAAGCATTTAAAAGGACTACAGGATTTATTTTTTTAAACACTTGCAGTGAGGCTATTCCTAAACTGCGAGGGTTAACTGCTTTTTTTTTTGCTAGACAAAAATGGAGAATGTTACATATTTGGGGCCCACCAATCTAAACAACTTGAGGCCCTTCTCCCTGCTCCCATTTACCTCCAAACTTCTTGAACGGCTGGTCTACAACCACTTGTGCAGCCACCTTACAGTTAACAATCTCTTTGACCCGTTCCAATCTGGCTTTCCGCAACACTCCACAGAAACTGCCCTTCTAAAACTTAAGAACGTTCTACTAACTTCCAAAACCAATGGCCAATGCTCTGTTCTCATACTTTTAGACCTTTCTGCACCCTTTGACACAGTTGACCACCCGCTTCTCCTTAATAAACTTAATTCCCTTGGCCTCCAAGACTCTGCTTTCTCATGGTTCATCTACCTATCTCAGCGCACCTTCAGTGTCACTTACAATTCTACCTCCTCCTCTCCTCTTTCCGTGGGGGTCCCCGGTCTGTCCTTGAGCCACTTCTATTCTCTATCTACACTTCTTCCCTGGGTCAATTGATAGCCTCCCATGGCTTCCAATACCATCTTTATGCCGATGACACTCAAATCTATCTCCACTCATCAACTCACCCACTTTGTCTCTTCACGTAGCTCAAATCTACTCAGTGACATCTCAGCATGGATGTCACACCACTACCTCAAACTCAATCTGTCAAAAACTGAGCTTATAATTTTTCCTCCTCTCCATGTTCCCTCCCCCCAACTTCCACATCACGATCAACAACACTACGATCAGCCCCTTCCATCAAGCCAGGGTACTCGGTGTAATCCTTGACTCTGAGCTCTCCTTTCAGCCCCACATCCAATCACTATCCAAATCTTGCCGACTCAACCTCCATAACATTTCCAAAATACGCCCCTTTTTAACAAACGAAACCACAAAGCTTCTAATTCACTCCCTTGTAATCTCTCGACTTGACTACTGTAACTCCCTCCTTGTTGGCCTACCACTAAGCAGGCTATCCCCCTTCAGTGTATCATGAATGCTGCTGCCAGACTCGCCCACATTACCAACCGTTCAGTTTCTGCCGCCCCTCTCTGCCAATCCCTCCACTGGCTCCCACTTGCCCAATGAATAAAATTAAAAATACTAACATACAAAGCCATCTACAACTCCGCCCCAACCTACATCATTGACCCCATCTCAAAATATCACCCAAACCGACCTCTGCTCGTCTCAAGACCTCCTGCTCTCTAATTACCTCCTCCCATGCTAGCCTCCAGGACTTCTTTTGAGTGTCCCCCATCCTCTGGAACTCCTTACCCCATTCTGTCCTTTGTATACTTTAGAACAGTGTTTGGCAGCAGTTGCAACCTCACACGTCGGCTCCAACTATGGGGATGAGTGAAATTCACTCACTCCATAGTTCTCTTTTAAAGGACCATTTTATAATTTCCCAGTTTACGAGCACCAAGCAGCTGGGCCCATTTTGTAGCGGATCAACAAAGTAGGAGCAAAGATTTCACCAACCTTTCTGGGCTGTCTTTTTTAAATAGGGCAGATTATTGGTGTCCCCTGACCCAACTTTAAAGAATGGAACCCCCAGTTCATGTAGAAATTCCACTGCCATCTGAAAACAGAAATAAAATCACATGTAACATACATATATTATTTTCAGACACAGATGCATCTACACAATGTTTCTGCTCCGTCTGTTGCCATCTGATTTACATAGCATTGACAGGTCTGTGCTACGTGACTGCCCTCTTTTACTCTTCTTCCAGGTCTGGGGTCTTCGTTCTTCCATCATTGGGCAACTGCTGATCATGAACTCCCTTACCTGCAAGCTGGAATTATATTATTTCACAACCCAGCAGCACTGTTGTCATTTTGCAGATGCCAAGCATGAGCTGGGAGTATGCACTGAACATGTACTGCAGTCAGTGTACGAACAAAAACATTTTTTACTGGCTGGCAGGTAATAATGCAGTGATCTATATTATTTAAAGTATTTCCATATATTTTGAAAACATTTCTGGTTTACAGCTGCAATCCAGGCCAAGGGCCAAATAAAGTTTGAAATATGGGAGCTGCTTAACCTATTAAATGATTGTTAATCCAGGCAAGCAGCACACAGTCAGGACTCATACTTTAAAACGGCCAGCAGATTACACTGAGCAATGCAACTTTGCCAGGACTCACCGCAGCCAATGACTGAACAAAAATGGAACAGCAGCAAGCTGATAAGTTCAGCTTTCTGATCTCTCCATCATAGAAAGCCGTCTGTTAGATACACGGCACTATGCAAAGAAGCAGTGCCTGATTTGCTCCCTCCTCTAAACCTATTAAGATCATGGTACTCCTAGATAGTGGTTAAAAAAAAAACCAAAACATATTTTTTTAATGAGCCCATAATGGGGTTTGTAACTTTTGGGGGTTCAGGTTTAAAAAAAAAAAGTCTGCTAACCACCATATGCATCTGAACTGGTAATGTAATACAAAAATTCCATGGCCATTTCAGAACAACCCTTTCTATGGGGAAACAGTTTAAATATCTGGTCTTAAAGGAGAACTATGAGGTGAGTGCTTTTCACTGAGCCTCATAATGTGAGCAGACCTGTGACAATGAAACTGTCACAGGTCATCTCAGTAGATAGGGAAGTGAGCGAATACATACCGGCGCTCGCTCACTTCTCGATCCGGTGCCGGCAGGGAGCTGTGAAAGGGGAGGGACTGGATTCCCCCCTCCCCTGTCCGATCCTCCAGCGCTGACTGGCGGAACGGACGGGGGAGAGGGTGGGTACAACTGGCTCTGACTCTAGATAGCGGGTTCGGCGTCTCAGCTGTAGCTCGCGGTATACTGAGCTTTGGGTGACGGGAGGACGCTAGTTTGTGTCCTCCCGTTACCCTAAGGAGAACTATGGGGAAAAGCCATGTATTCTCTCCATGTCAAAGCAAGATTGTGAGCTCATTGTCAGACTCTAAGGGCCTCTTTTGAAGGGCTTCTATTGGCAAATGCAGTGTGCTTATGACATCGAACAGATTGCAGGTAGCGTTGTTGATCTGCATTTCATCTGCTGCAGCCTTCTCATTCACACTGAAAGTAAAGCGTTCTAAAACAAACAAAAGCCGCTCAACACTGGCCCTTTGTGCCCCGATAGAGTTCTAATACCCGATTCATTGCAGATAGACTTTATGCATGAGATGGTGAAGGAAAGTAAACACGTGTTTTTTAGTGTCCGTTCTCTAGGCATTCTACTAAATAGCCTTAACTTGTCTGCCAGGGAGGGAATACAAGTAAATATTTAAAAACCCAAGTCATTCCAGGGAGAAAAGGCTGCACCATAATAATTCAAGAGTTGAGATTCTGTATAGATTGCGACTGATGACCTTCTCTTTAAAAGAGGTTAGACACAGACATAAATAAATTTCTGTCTGGTATAGAAATGCCTCACTGACATAGTAGCAGCTATCCAAGCTTTAGAACATAACATAAGCGTAATAGGTTAGAAATTCAAGCAGATCTGCCTTTTTTGTTTTGTTGTTTAAACAAAGTCCTGTGCAAATATTGCTTCAAAGTCACTTGAAATGATCATTCTTTGATGTAGTCTTACCTCGTCCATTCCAGAGGCAGTGAAATAAATGCCCGTTTCCTTTGCATATTTTTGTAGTTCTCGATATTGATCATGACTTAACTCCAGGTGGCGCTTGTGATCCCCGTACGTCTTTCCCCAGGAGTGCGGGGAAGTGTATGGTCTTTCCAAGGCTTTTTTGTTGAATTTGTGCTCTAATTCACTTTTCTGGAACTTTGCACAGTCCGCACCACAGTCCTGAAAGTACAAAACAAATCTTAAGGAAAGAAAAAAGCTGAAGGGAACAACTAATAACCCAAAAGGGTCAGGCGAATGGAGACTGATACAGCATTTTCTAGAATGCTCTGGTCAGCGCCCTGTGCAGCTTTTGGCAAGCAGTGACATCACTGGTTGCCAGGAGCTGAGCGAGATGGCCTCACCACTACCCTGTCCAGCTTTTGTCAAGCAGTAATGTCACTGGTTGCCAAGAGCTGAGCACGATGCCCTCGCCACTACCCTGTCCAGCTTTTGTCAAGCAGTAATGTCACTGGTTGCCAGGAGCTGAGCAGGACCCTTTGGCCGATGTCCCGCCCAACTCTTGGCAACCACTGAGGTCAGTGAGCTGGGCACTGCACCATCAGAACCCTATCAAAAGCCCTCCCTAGAACATTACCACCAGCAACCTCCAACCCACACCTCTATGCTAGGGACACCCCGTTGACTGGCATTGTTAAATGGAATCCCACTTAAACTATATTTTCTAATAGGTAAGACAAGATGTATGACCCACCGGGTCCTTAATATTGATCGTGATTCTGGCAAAGAAATGCTGATCATACTTACTAGCATTGTCACAACAGTCACAGCTCAATTGTGAACTGGCCTGTCTAATTCCCCTCTCTGAAGTCTTTCTCTTCCCCCCCTCCTCAAATATCCATTGGCAAGTTGTAAGCTAGTGATACATATGGAGATTGAACTCAAGACAGGAGAATCAAGTTCAGGAGAAGCCTAGGATCCAAGCTGGCATTAGAGATGGTAAATGATTTAAACAAACCATTCATCATTTTATGTCCAACTAAAAGTTTTGGCAGGAGTCTCTTTAAATTTAAAGAGCATTCTTTACTTCAATAGAAACAACCAGGATGATCAGTTATCAAGTACCGTACCGATACTTTTCCGGTGTTCTATCATTCCATCGGACTCATGGGGTTATTGGACTTCCAGGGGTGTGTGAAGGGCTCGGCCATGCGTGCAAAGCACACTGTGGCACCAGGTGTATAAATCTCACGAACCAACGCAGCTTACAATGTTTTACCTAGTAAAATCTGATACTGCAGGTCCCAGTCAAGATAGTGAAGAACATAGAGGGTAACATGAGATAAGTGGCCGCTTGTGTGACCCGTCACACCATGACCTGTACTACATACGTTTTTCAGCCTCCAGTCCCTTTCTAATTCAATGGGGGCAGTCACATTAAACAATAACTAAACCCAAAAACAAAGAATGTTTATATGTATTTCAACTCAGCAGTCTTTAGATGTGGTGTCTGCATTGGTTTCCTTTTCTTTGTACCAGGTGATCCTGTATGTAATGGAGATGAACAAAGTCCAGCCTGGGTGACAACCATGGCTCATGTTATGGATACAGTATAGAAGTTAGCCAGTAAAAAAAGAAGAAGTGCGTTAGTCACAGGATTAATAAGTGAAAAACAAAAACCTGAATAACAGAAAGACTAATGCAGTTATTCTGCAGCTAGTCCACATCCAAGAACTGGTAAGCTGCAATATATTTAATTTTTGTTTCTGGGTATAGATACATTTTAATGCACACTGGTACTTTGGTTGCATCAGAAACAATGAAGCTATGAAGAGAGAGGTTTGTTGCCCTCCTTACCGGAGAGCCCCGAATATGGGGGAAGGGTGCTTGGAATGACTGCGGATGGCGCTGCCAGTTGCAGATACAGTAATACCTTGGTTTACGAGCATAATTCGTTCCGGAAGCATGCTTGTAATCCAAAGCGCTTGTATATCAAAGCGAATTTCCACATAGGAAATAAATGGAAATTCAGATGATTCGTTCCACAACCCAAAAATATTCATATAAAAATGATTACAATACTGTACTGTAATATAATACTGTACACAATATAAAGAAAAATAAGCCAATTACCGGTTACCTTCGTGGCCGGTGTGAGGATGACAAGAGAGAGGAGGATTATTGTGTAGGACAACTTTCACTATGACTAACAGAATCACTGCTATCTCTTGAGTCAATGGAATCTTTTTCATTTCGTGAAACCTTAACAAGGAATCTATCCAATGGGACATTGCATTGTCGTTAAACAGATTCATCGCTCGCACTGCTACAGCCTTATTCAGGTGGTGCTTTTCTACAAAATTTTGCTCTTAGTGCAAGACATTGCTTGTATATCAAAGGGAAAATGTTTCAGAAATGTTTGCTTGTCTTGCAAAACACTCTCAAACCAAGTTACTTGTAAACCAAGGTATTACTGTAATATAGAAATGTCACCAGCACCCCAGACTCCTTCAAGCATAATCAATCAGTGACTGCTATGCCTGATGAAGGGACCCGGTGTGGTCCCGAAAGCGCTTGTGTATTTCACATAAGTTCTGAATAAATCCACGATTGATTATCCTTGAAGGAGTCTGGTGTGCTGGTGACATTTCTATATTAGAAACAATGAAGCCTGACACCTTTTCCATAAGCCCAAGATCAAGTCCACCTAGAGCCGATATTCCATGTCACCAACAGACCAGCTTTAAAGTCATAGAAGGCTACGCAAAATGTTGTTTACACAGACACATTAATACAAAAGTGCCAAGGTCTTCCTCTGTGCAGCCACATTACATAGTTATACCTCCCTTCATTACTAAAAAAGATTTGCATGCTGACTAGATTACACCCACTCACATGAGTAGGACTTAGAGCGTCTGCATAAAAAATTAAATTACAGATGGTTTCATCATAACAAAACAGGACAACCAAATTTTCTAAATGCATGAGCCAAGAAAAGTTAAAAAAAAGTGAAAAAACTGGCTTCACTGTTCCCATTTTTGGAAGTGGCAATGATGACTTGCAGCCCACTTGTATCCGGGGACAAATTGCTCATTATCCTTGTCTCCAGCCTAACAAGTCAATTCAGCTGGAGGTAATTTTTTTTGAGTTGTTTTTAGTCTTAAATTTAAAAAAAACAAAAAAAAAACACCACACACATTGCATTATTATATTCAGTGGACATTGGCAACATATATTAAACTTGACATACAACTTGTTAAATAAAACAAGCGAAAAACACCAGGACAATGCACATCTGCTCAAGGGAAATATCCATTACTATACCTTTTATAACAGATTGTATACAATTATAATATATTATTATACTAAAGTGCCAATAGTTTGTGCAGTGCTTTACAAAATGGATACGATTTGATCACCATGCAATAACCATCTACTTAAAAAAGATAACCGATAAAACTGATCCAACTCTTGGCTGTATGTTTAGGGCACAGCAAACATAATTAGGGGATCGTCTTATACACCCAGTCGCCTTATACGCTGGCAAATATGGTATATGCAAACCCTAGCATGTTAAAGTGTATCTATGGTCCAAATTTAAAGTCATTATAACAATCATTGAATTTAAATTATTTCTACCACAACTATGCCTACTTCTACTAATCTGAATGATCTTGAAGTTTGAAAACTTAATGCGGGGCGGGCTTGCGATGATCTCAAGTACGATCTGCCTGTCCAAGATAGGCAGATCGTATGTTTTTTTAATTACCTTACAACCAACCATGGCAAGACAAAAGTCTTGCGATGGTTGTAAGGTGTGTGCCCAGCATTAGAATCCCACATATTTTCTTCCTTGAATGCAGTCACACATTCACTATTCCCTGTGACTATGCACCGATTTCACAGAGTCTGCCATCTGAACTACAGGAGGTGATGGAGGAGTTTCAGGAAGCACACCATCACTGCTTGCAGGCAGCAAGGTATCATGGGTTATAAAGTTCGTAGTAATCGTTAAGCATGTAAAGTAAACCAAAGTAATGAGCAGAGGTGAAGCCACAAAAGCATGCAGGGAATAAAGAAAAGAGATTCTCCAAGTAAGCTTATATTGGAGTGTCAAAATGGCCATCATTTGTATTATTACAATTTGAGGTTATAAAATGAAAGTGCATGCTGCGACTTTAGATCTCCTTTACATTGGTCATTAAAGGTGATTTGTTACATTTGTTCAATCAGTGTAAAAGAATACCCGTTCTAACTGCCATATAACTTGTGAGCTGATAACTTTCTCTGCTTCATGCTTGTGCTAGACTCTTATTAGTTAGTATTGTTCCCAGTGCTCTTTGGGCCACAGGACAGCAGCTAACCGCGTTGTAACACACTGTATATGGTGTGAACAAACCCTTAAAAAAAAGGAGAACTATGGGGTTAGGGCTTTTCCCCATAGTTCTCCTAAAGGTAACGCGAGGACACAAACTAGCGTCCTCCCGTCACCCTAAGCTCAGTATACCGCGAGCTACTGAGTATACTGAGCGGTATACTGAGACACACCGCAGCTGAAGCAGATCCCGACAATTATGTCTGGATCCGCCCAGCTGCGTGAGTGACAGCTGGCTCTGCCTATCTAGAGGCAGAGCCAGGGGTACCCACCCCCTTCCCCGTCCGTTCCGCCAGTCAGCGTTGGAGGATCGGAGCAGGGAGGGGGAATCCAGCCCCTCCCGTCACTGCCGTGACAGAATCGAGAAGTGAGAGAACGCCGGTATGTGTACACTCACTTCCCGATCTACTGAGCCAACCTGTGAGGCTGGGCTCACACCTGGGTGTTTCCTATGTGGGCGTTTTACCCGTGTTATTTTCCGGACGTTTTTTGAGCGTATTGTCTAGCGTTTTTTCACACTTGATAACGCGCGACGTACGCGCGTTTTTTGATCGACTATAGAGGCGTCCAATGAAAAAGACTTCCTGAGAAACAGCATTTCCCTTTCCTGTTTCTTTGTTACAAAGGAGTGTGTTGTGTGCAGTTTCTTTGTTACAGAGGAGAGTGTGCGGTGTATTATGGAGCTTGGGAAATGACAACGAACTGCAGCAGTAGTTGCAGCAGTGCGGCTTATGCGTTTGAGGAGAAAGAGACTGAGCAGGCGAAGGTTCTGGGTCCATCCATTGATTACGAACCAAGAACAAAGAGGGCAGTTTTGGGCCATGTATGAAACCCTCCGTGGCCATGA